AGAGAACCGGCACTAATGTTACGTCCTCAGAAACCCGCTCACATCACATCACTGACTGACTGGATTGCTTTATATATCGATTTCAACAACAAGTTTTAACCCCCTGAACCCCAAAACCCACCGGTGGGTTTGAAAGGCCTGTTGCATGTTTAAAAAACTTCAAAACTGCACCGTTTAGCAGAACCACAAACGATAGAAACAGAACTCATCGTGCATGACGCGACATTCTGTTGAGAAAATCAACCAAATACAAGCTGAAAATCGTGATATTTAATCAAAATCACGTATCTAGAAAAGTAAAACTGACTTTATTGTGCACATCCATCCATCATCTCTACACCTTAATCCTCACTGGGGTCATGGGGGTCTGGAGTCTATCCCAGCTGACTCAGGGTGAAGGCAGGTTCACCTGGACAGGTAACCAGTCTATCACAGGGCTACACTTAGAGACAGACAACCAAGCACACTCACATTCACACCTACGGACAATTTACAATCACCAATTAACCTCAGCATGTTTGTGGACTGTGGGAGGAAGCCGGAGAACCCGGAGAGAACCCACGCTGCACGGGGAGAACATGGAGACTCCACGCAGAAAGATCCCGGGTGTCCTCACCGGGACGCCAACCGGCGACCTTCTAGCTGTGAGGCGACAGTGCTAACCACTGAGCCACCTTGCAGCCCTTTATCGTACATGTCTCATTTAAAAATTTGCCAAAAATAAAGTATTTACATGAACCAGATTCAGGAAAAAGACAAAAAATTCTGCACAACCAAGAAGCAATAAATGAGTCAGCGGTGACCGACAGTATTATAACAAAAAATAAATAATAAACCAGGGTATGTATATGAATGAATTGGAGGTAATAATTATAGTTGGTTAATTTCGTATACTTTTCATGTGTGACTTTCTCAAGTATGTCATGGAAAAGCCACAGAAATCAATCGGTCACCATGAATCTTACAAGCAGACTTGTTATGAAAACTGGCCATTACACTCTAATTTTGTTTATCTGTGTTTTTCTGGTTTTTGTTTATGTGATGTCCGTCTGCGTACCCGTTTACTTGTGTCAAAGTTGCTTCAAAACAACGACTTAAATAACTAGAGAAGTTGCAGAAACCCGCCCATTTCATCATTTAGTGGTCGGACTTCTTGGAGTAAAGCGTCGTCTATCATCAGCAGCGGTCCCGACCCACACCAACCTCTTCAGCTCAGGTTTGTGGATAAAGACGAGGTCAATGTGGGGCAACACTGTCCAACGTTGAGTCACGAGAACGACCTGTCCTGACTCTTTATATTTGTTTTTGAGGTCAGTAATCTTTCACTCTTCTCTGTGCAGATGAATGAAAGAGGCGTCGAATGAAAATCAAGAGAAAAATGAGCTGCCAACCAGCAGCCTTTCAGCCGAGCAATCACCATCCAGCAGCGAGAGGATGGACGTGAAGGTCGCCGGCACGCTGAACAATAACGCAGCGCTCTTCACACACGCTGCTCGAGCCGGTTAGGTCGTCACTTTCACCGACGTTAGATCTGAATTTAGAGATTACGGCCATTTTTCTGAATACGTAGAAACGACAGGTGACTGCAGACATAATAGATGTCCTCCTGCTGTTAGAAAGAAATAGAACAGAAGAAACATATTTCCTCAGGATTTTCAGGCTTTTTGTCTGTATTTCTATCAGGCAATAAAGAAAACTTTCCTGCTTTCTTTGTTTCTGCTTCAGTCATAACACTGTGAGTCTTTTCTTTTAAATTAATAGCTGCTATGCTATCGTTGTTAGCCCAGCGAGCCCCAGAACGCGTTGGTCAGTTTGAAAGGCTAAACTGAATAATGTAATATTCATCAAAATCGCCTCATGCTACTCATCTAATTCAAACCATTTTCCAAAAAATAAACAGTTTGCACCAGATTCTGTAAAAAACTAAAAATTCTGAGTTTCTCTGCACAACCATCAAGACAGTAGTGACTCAGATGCAACCAGCAGCCAGGTGAGAAAAACAGGACTATGCTTAGAGACAGACAACCAAGCACACTCACATTCACACCTACAGACAATTTACAATCACCAATTAACCTCAGCATGTTTCTGGACTGTGGGAGGAAGCCGGAGAACCCGGAGAGAACCCACGCTGCACGGGGAGAACATGGAGACTCCACGCAGAAAGATCCCGGGTGTCCTCACCGGGACGCCAACCGGCGACCTTCGAGCTGCGAGGCGACGGTGCTAACCACTGAGCCAATCGTGCACCGTTTTGCAAAATATATACTCAGTTCTCATTTGGAGTTTTCTCCACTACTAAAGTCGGCCGTGCTGCTTCCATCGAGGTTCAGGACTTCAGACTGATAACTGAGCCCACAGTGAGTAAAAATGATGTGATGCTGTTGCAGTTAATGGTTGATGTTAAACTTCTTAATTAAGAAAATAACTTAAACCACATACACAGACAAAACAAAACAAATCTTTTTTTAAATAGTCTAGACAATAATCCATTTGAAACAATCATAATTTAACAAAAGGACACGTTGGGACTGAGCTACATCTGTTTACGTTGACATGCAGCTCTGACCCACAGCGAACAGGAGCTGCAGCCCAACTCGTATTTAAAGTCTCACAAACAGCCGGACAGACTGTCAGGAGTTTAAATACACAGAAAACAGCAGAAGAAAAGCTCCTTTTGTTCAAACTCTCACACGCATCCTGCTCTATAAATGAATCTGCTCCTCTCTCTGCATCACTGAATGAGGTTCCCTTTGTTTATGAGAAGGGCATTCTGGGTAACTTACAACACCCAGTATAGCAGGCTGAGCTACCATCCTTCCTAACAGTTCAGCCGGAGCAGTACTTGTAAACTAAGTGTAATTTCACACACACATGAGGTGCCAAGGTAAGGACACACCAGGATGAAGTGTCTTCATTTAGAGCTGGGCTCTATAAAAGATAATGAAAATGTCACCATGCCTTATGTAATTTGTAAGCTGTGACAGCTTCCCTAAAGTGGTGATAGCTGTGGTGAACTGGTGGCATTTATAAGCAACCGGAGTGTTCTTCCTAACAGCAGGGGCTATTTTAAAAAGGTCCTGTTAGCTGAGATAGAAATCCTAATTTGGCAACAGCTGACGTCGGCACTGTGTATTTTATCTGACTTTTACAGAGACGCCAGTGTAAAAGAAAGAATAAGTTATAACTTTTATGGCACTGGAAGGAGGAAAAAAAGGAAAGCAAGGCTGTGATCACAGGGGATGCATTTAGCAGTGGGTGGATACTGTCCTGAAAGTGCAAATTTGACAAATGTGAAACCACATATCTGCTGTTCCTCAGACGCAGGACTTCCTTCGTTGGATGTGCTGCAGTGAGGAGCTCAGTGTGAAGACAGCAGCTCCTGCTTCAGCTCCACCAAATATCAGCGACCGCCACCAGCCCTCCACCGTCACAGCTCAAACGGATGGCGACTCCTTCCTGCTTTACTTAGCTAATGACCCTGCTAATTTCATCTGCTCCCAGTGACTGACAGCAGCTGGCTTTGCGGTTGCCTGGCAACAGCACCAGTGCCTGTGCACGTGTGATGCGCTTCACGTTTGTGAGTCTGACAAAGTGGACTGTGTCATCGATAAGCTCCAAACAAAACGTCCTGTATCCTCTGCTCAGTGAACAACACAAGCTCATTGCAGTTTTTCCGGTATGACGCTGAGAAAAAATGTTTGGTTTGTGGATGAATCAGCGTCTTACGAATATCTATTTAAATATTTAGATGATCATTAATTACACAACAGGATAATTGGCTTGTGTTACCTAAGCTGCCATCTTCCGAAAGTCGGACATTTCAGTCTCACACTTCTAGTAAAACAACTTCAAAAACATGAAATTACAGAAAGTTTAGCCACAATAAACTCCTTCAATCCAACAGTTTCTGTGTGTTTTTTTTTAACCCTGTCACATCACTGTGGCTATGATCCTACATCCTAATGGAAACAGTGGTTAGTAGGAAAGAGAACTTTTGTGTACTATGATGCATTTATAATGTTAAAAAAGGAAGTTATATTTCTGTGGTAATTCATTTTACAAAAATCAACACATGCAACATTTTTCCAAGAGCACAAAAAGTCTCTGAACTTTTGTTCTTGAAGTCCAGCCTGAATCATAAAAGATGGACACAGCTAACGTTTAGTTCCTTCATCAGTGAAACCGAGTGACAAATACAGATCAAAGCAACACTTCCTCAGGTGATCGGTGCATTTAACCAAGTAGAAGATAAACTAGACAGAAGCTACATCAATATAAACCACAGAAGTGAATAAATAAAAATCAACTTGTCCAAAATCATCTTTTCAATAATGACAGTAATAATAAGACTTATGGTAGGTCTCAGAGTAACGCTGTCACACCGTCACTGTTTCAGCTTCTCCAGTCATGTGGTACCAAAAATGGTTAAAATACAAAAACATGTTGGAATAAATGAAATACGTAAAAATAGAATGATACAAACAATGTAAAACTGCTCCAAACATGGATTAGACACCACTGAAGAAGCAACAGGTTACTATAATACAGACAGTATAGTTTAATTACAGTTAAGTAGCCACATTTAATCATATAGTTATATAGAGATAATAATAGGTTTAGATATATATGACCGTTAATAGAAACTTTTCATTTTATCTGAATTCAGAAAATTCTGGTTTTGTTTGTCTGACAGTTTAATCCGTGAACACCACATGTTCCCACGTTCGCTGCTCATCTGAAAGCGAATCTAACATTTGCCCTGAAGGCGCTCTATTGTCTCCACGTGGAAAACTGCTGTGAGGCAAACTGCAGCTCTGTTGACTGGGGAAAGAAGGCGGAGCGTGGCCACGGCAACAAACACCCAGATACCAGCTGAGCCCCGCCCATGACCTGTGTAATCCTACACCTGTGCAGGTAAAGCTCATCATAACTCATGAGCTGCTCGGGCAAACAAACGCAGCTTCTCGAGGCGGAAGATACGGAACAACAGCAAAGATGGAAAAGATGCCCAGCGCAGCGATACAGCTACAGGACATGGAGGAGAGCAGTCGGCGGCTGCTCCCACAACCCAGAGAGATCCCTCTGGTGCCGATGGACACCAACGTCCTGACAGCCAGGTAACTACTCCTACTGGGGGTTTCCACGTCTCACATGGCCTTTAATCACTGAACGGTACGGACCGAGGAGAGAAGTGAGCACAGAAATCAGTGTGGCTCTTTAACTGCGCAGGTAAACAGTTTTTTTCAGCCTTTAGCGCCGGTTAGGCGTCGAGTGACGAGCTGCATGTTTGAGGTAAACAGGTTTCAGCTCGCTGTGAGCCGCTCGGCTCTGGCCTCGCTCCAGAAACAATTACCGTGTTTGCAAAATGATCTGTGAGTATCTTATTAAAAGAAGAAGAGATTGGGGACGTTTTCACAAGGAGCTGTTGCACACTTGGAACTCTTGAGCTGCACTTTGTGATTTGTCTGTTTGTTTCCACCTTTCAGGCCTGAGAACGTGGACAGTCACGCACTCATCAGGGACAGAGTGTTTAAAGCAGTCTCCCAGGGAGATGCAGAGGGGCTCAACGGCCTGCTGGGATACCTACAAGACAATAAAAAGCAGCTCACAAGTCCAGAGTTCACAGGCAAGACAGACGGAGGATTTATATGTTCACACGTTTGGTTGAAAAAGGAGCGACTATGCTGCAAAAATATGTCCAAAAAAATACTGTGCAGTGAATGTGTTGTGGTAACGAAAGCATGAGAGTCTGTTGGGCACTTTAAAAGTTTCCTTGTTTAAAAAAAGTGCACTAAAAATAAGGTTTAAACCAGTGGATAAGTCAAATTAAATCCATTTACACCCCTGTAACAGGCTTTTAAATCAAAACTTGTCCCATTAGTTATTATACCAGTCATAATCTTTTATTACTGGAAAGCACTTTGTCACATCAGCTGTTGTTTTAAATGTGTGTTTATAGAAAATGGTCACTTGGCTTAACTTGGCTGAAGTGAATTCAGGAGTAATTTCCCTTAAAGTTCTCATTTACAGATGTAAAACTGAGGCTGAACCTTGACCACAGATCGTCTGTACAGTATTTTAATCCTGTCACAATGAAAAGAATTAGAAACTTGACACAAGCTAATAAATACGTCTGATTATATTTAATTAAATCAGAATCTAAAACTGTCATTAAAGGCAAGTGTATGTTAAATTTATTGATGCCTGCTGTTTAGAAAATAACAAGCCAGGAGTTATTCTGGCACTTATGAGGTTAATATTGTACCATAATCCAAAACTATCTATAGTTTTCCAACTAATGCAATGAGAAACAAAACCGTTTGCTGTGCACCACTTTCAGATAAGACGAACGGGAAAACGGCTCTCCTGAAAGCTCTGCTGAACCTGAAAAATGGCAAAAATGACACCATTGACGTCCTCCTTGATATCGCGGAGAAAACTGGAGATTTAGAGAATCTGGTCAATGCATCTTATACAGACGACTTCTACAAAGGTGGGTGAAAACATGCTGCCAGTAATCCTGTCCGGGAAGTCGAGGGTCTTCAGGATATGTGGGGCTGTAAGAACCTTCATGCTACGTCTGAGAATGTGACAAGTCATCGCTGTTTTCTGTAACAACACGTCTCAGGTCAGACGGCTCTGCATGTCGCCATCGAGAGAAGAAGCTTGGACCACGTGAAGCTTCTTGTGCAGAAAGGAGCAGATGTTCAAGCCAAAGCCAACGGGAAGTTTTTCCAGCCTAAAGCGAAACACGGCTTTTATTTTGGTGAGTAATCTCACACCAGAAACAACTACAAGCTCAACTTTCTGTCCCGTTTGTTTACGATCAGATGTTATATCATCTTTTAGCTCACCTGTGTTTCTCCAACAGGTGAGCTTCCTCTGTCACTGGCTGTGAGCACCAACCAGCCCGACATCGTGTCCTTCCTCATAGAAGAAGGAGAAGCCGACGTGGCCGATCAAGACTCTCACGGAAACACCGTGCTGCACATCTTGGTGGTCATGGCGGACAACACGGCAGAAAACACTGAAATGTTCGCCGCGATGTACGATAAGATCCTCATTCTGCACCACAAGCTAAAGAAACAAACAGAAGACCACCTGGAAGAGATCAAAAACAACCAGGACCTGACTCCTCTGAAGCTGGCCGCCAAGCTCGGCAAGATCGGGGTACGTCTATCGATTGTTAAAGGTGTTTGTGAATATTTAGTAAAGCTAATGCCTCTCGATTCTCTCACTGTCCAGCTGCTGAAACACATGTTGCACCGAGAATTCATGGACGAGGACACGAGGCCGTTGTCCAGGAAGTTCACAGAATGGGTTTATGGACCCGTCCACTCCTCCCTTTACGACATCAGCTCCATCGATACCGACGAACAGAACTCTGTGCTGGAGATAATCATCTTTGGGAGTAAGATTCCGGTTAGAAAAGTTTATTTTGTCCTCATTATATCTCATAGTGATCTGCATGTGTAGATCTTTGTCTTTTCTCTGTTGTTTTCTGTTGTTGTTGTTGCATGTGTGATTGTGACAGTGACTGTCTCATTGCTGGCTGCACAAAAATTTCCCCACGGGGATATTAAAGATTTTGAACTTGAACTTGATCTACAAATTATCGTATCCTGAGGAGTGGCTTCGGTGGCCACCTTGTTGGCAGCGCTAATCCTAAAATGAGCAAAGATGTAGGGAATGAATGGAGCTGAGCCAAGACATAAACTGTCCTACGCCAGCAACCAGCAGTCATTCAAAGTGGCCCTTAATTTCGCATAACTTTAAGCCTCAATACAACCCAGTCACGGAAGTTTTATAAAAATCCACCTGTGTACAGGTAGCATGAATGGGTGAATTAACTTTAGAGGCTAAAACAGTTTTTTGTACCAGGCTGTAAAGATGTTTATTTCTGCTGTGAAGTTGGACATCGTAACATGAAGGTCTATGGGGATTGACTCACTGCTAGAACCAGCCTCAAGTGGACATTTGAAGAACTGCAGTTGTTGGCTTCATTTTTCAGAGGTTGCTGCCTTGCCATCGTATAAACTGTGATAGCAAAATAGCAAAACAAATCGAGGGGATTTAAGTGTTTTAAGTGTAAAAAACAAATTGTGAACATTCCCCCAGAACCGCCGTGAGATGCTTCAAATCGAACCTCTTCGCAGCCTCCTTGAGGACAAGTGGAGCACGTTTGCTTCCAAGCTGTTCCTGATAAACTTCCTGCTGTACCTGATATACCTGATCATCTTCACCACCGTGGCCGTCTACAGGAAGGACGGACAGGTGAGACGGAAACACGGTGTTGGAAACAGTCTGTCCACTAACTTACAACAGGACAAGCCATCAGTTTACGCCTTCATCCGCCTGTGAATTTGTTTGACCTGCAGCCACCGTTCCCACTAGAGGTCCCCATCGACTACCTCCGATGTGTCGGCGAGATCATCAGCGTCCTCGGAGCAGTGAGGTTTTTCTACCAATCGGTGAGAAAGTGGAGTCCCAGCTAGCATGGAGCGTTTCCACAACGTTGTTCTAAAAATGTCTTAAAGAAAATGTTTTAAACAAATGTTCAAAAGAACGTTATGAGAATATAATCATTTCCAGGAATGTTCCTATAGAGTTAAACTAATGTTTTCATGTCAACATTCACAGGACAAAACACAGGTTATGTTCCATGATAACAAAGAAGGAACGTTCTCAAACCAACATTCAAAAACTGTTTCAGAAGAAGATTCTGGGAACTAAAAGAAAACTTCCCATAAACTAATAAATATTCCAGCAGGGACGGGGACGACTCAGAGTTAATCGTGTTACTATGTCTGACCTCTAAATCCACAGATTACTTTCTTCCAGAGGAACCGTCCAAACTTCAAGGCTCTATTCACCGACGGATTCATCGACCTCCTCTTGTAAGTACTGCCAGCAGATGTTTTTATGCCCAAACTTCTTGTAAAGGACGTTTTTAATATCTTAATGTTTGCAGTTTGCTGCAGGCGTCGCTCCTTCTGGTCAGCGCGCTGCTGTACCTCACCGGTCGGAGAGAGTACGTCGGACTTCTTGTGCTCTCGCTGGCTCTCGCCTGGATGAACGTTCTGTATTACTCAAGAGGATTCAAGCAGCTGGGGATGTACTTCGTCATGATGCAAAGAGTGAGAATTGAGCAACTGAAGGTTTCACAACAGGCTGTCTGGTCAAATGTGGATCACCTGGTTTACAGTCTGTTTCTCTCTCTAGATGATACTCGGTGACCTTTTACACTTTTTATTTGTCTACGGTGTCTTCCTGTTTGGATTTTCTGCCGGTAAGACCCCAAACACTTAACATCATAAAGTTAAATCTGATTGCCTTTCTACTAGACGCTGGGTTTCTCGTGTTCTTCTCTTTTGTTAGGCAACTATAGAAGAGATGTTTTCCAATGGTAAAATGTGTGACTTGAATTTTTTCTCCATCCACAGCTATTGTCGCTCTGATAGACGAACCTCCCTTAACTCAACACAATGCGACCAATGCCTCGCTGGCAAACGGACAAAGCTTCGCCGAGGATCCATTTAAGGCGGAAGAACTGAGCTACCACGACATGCGCTTCACCACGCTGGAACTGTTCAAGTTCACCATCGGGATGGGAGACATCCAGTTCACCGACCACGTTCAGTACAAGGAGGTGTTCTACATCCTGCTCATCTGCTACATCGTCCTCACCTACATCCTGCTGCTCAACATGCTGATCGCTCTGATGGGCAACACCGTCGAGAGGATCTCCACACAGAGCGAGAACATCTGGAACCTGCAGGTACGAAGCTCTGACAGTCTGGAATCACGCCTTCAGCACACAAAACCTAATGTTTACAGGATTAGGCTGAACCCTGTTGAGTTTTGGTAGATCCAACACAGGGTTGCACTTGTCAGGACAAAGCTCAAGACAATGGGAAGAACACAGAATTAGGGCTCAATCAAAGCATGCCAAGTTCTGTTTTAAACGCTTCAAACTGTCTCATATCCCCAGAGGGCCTTTACCATTTTGGACATAGAGAGGTCTCTGCCGAAGTGCCTGAGGAAGAAGATCTACTCCAAAGCCAGAAAGGAGCAGGACGAGTGTCAAGGACTCTTCAGGTGAACCATCACTGGACGTGTCCAGCTGTAAATCTAGATCAATGCACTAAAGACAGAGCGCGGTGATAAAAATATCTGTAAAAAATAAACAGTGTGGGAAAAGTCTGTAATGTAAAAAAAAATACACTGTGTACAACAAAAGACTTCCACATCTTAAAGCTCATCACGACTGGAGATATATTTTTTAGAATTTATGTACCTGTTCTAACATCAGCTTCTGCAGTCGTGTCAAACGTTTCGTTTACGGATTCTTCTCTGACTTCAGGGTGGAGGAGAAGAACTGGACCCAGTGGAGGTCAGATCTCGGCGTGAAACGGAAAGAAGACCCACAGTTTGTGGATCCTTCTGGTAGGCGACAGACCACTCGGCTATGACCGCTGGTTCTTTCTGTTGGGATGTCGCTAACACAAGCTGCTGTTTCATCCTTCAGGGTCTCACTGGAACCTCCTGAACAGGATTTATCCTAAACGTCGCCAAACACAACCGTCTGGTTCTTCCAGGATCAACGGGAACATCAACCTATCAAAGCTTTTACCAGTTTAAGATCTGAACATGTTTTTGATAAACCAGCAACTTTATTTATTCTCATCAAGCTGCTCTTATTCGTGTACATATATGTGTTGTGATGTTATTTATACACCTTATGAATGGTTGTGTACATTTGTACATAGTAGAACATTTTTCAAAGGGAGGAGTTGTTGTCGCTGCTTTTTCAACTTTGGAGTTAACTTTCTGACACACGTCACTCAGTTCAGGTATTTCTCATTGTCTGTTATTAGATGGAGCTGGTTAAGGAAACAGCTCCTTAAATATACCTTTAATTAACTCAGTCTCCGAGTTTCAAGTGAATCTGGATATGTTTGAGTCATTTTGCACACGTGTTTGACTGATTTTGTACAGGCTGTTGTGATTCAGGTAAATCTTTGAGTCATTTTAGACACATCTTTGAAAGTCTGAACAGGTTTGGAATCCCTTTGGACAAACCTTTGACATTTGTTCATTTTAGAGACATGAAATGAAGGGAAGTCGGCCAGACAGCTGCCAAAACCCAGAAGTTTCTACAACCCTGTAGTTCTGTTTCTTCAGTGCTTAAATGGTTTTGATTGTTGTTTGTCTCAAAGCATTAATATCTGTTTTGGTTTTCATGCAGTTATACTTTAAGGTTGTTAATTTACTTTGCCCACAAAATCACTGGTATTCACAGGGAGTCAGAAGGATTCTGTGAAGCACGCCACACTTTCAAAGTAAAAGCTCAGAGATATTAAAAGGAACTGATTAGGATTTGTGACACACGCCGGCTGACAACTCTAGTTTTTCATATTAGACAATTGTTTACGGTCTACTTGAAGGTTGGATCCAATACATGCACAACATGTTGACATCTGTGTATTCATTGTTGGTGCCCTTGTGGTCAGACATCCACACAGAGCTCCACACTCGGACCCCAGCGAAGCCCTTCCCTTTCAGTGGTCCTACCTTAGCAATGGTCTCATGAAACTTGAAAAGTGGGTCCAGGGTTTCCGGCGACTCTGCAGAAAACTGTCCCTCCGACAGGAAGCTGGTAGTCTGAAAAAGAGAAGTCAAACAGCAATCGTTACACGACACAACAAGAGTGGCTTTTAAAATCCCCTGTACCGTCTGTTCTGGTCCAATCATTGTCTCATTCAGAACCCTCTTTGTTATGCTGGAACCACAGTGATTTCCACTCCATAGCACAGAATCAGGAAGACAAATCTTTACCTATTTTTTTTTGTTCACTTTTCTTATGTGTGTTCTTTTTTTTAAATTCTAATTTGTTCTGTTCTATTCTCAGAGTGGAAAAGAGTGGAGTGACCTGTCAAGCTTTTGGCAGGAAACAACAGTAAATGCTCTCAAGGCCAACGAGCTGCCAGGACGTTTTGTTCTGCTGTCAAACACACACACACACACACACACACACACACACACAAAGTCACGTAACTACGCCGGCACACACCCCAGAATTACCTCACTGTCACCTCGGTATACTTTGTAATGCACCAGAAACAAAGCACCTCATTGTGACTTCAAAGTCGCGGCGCTGCCTTTGTAGAAGAGCCGTATTTTCTGTATTTTTTATTTTTTCATGGAGTCGAATTAAGCGGCAGACAGCTCACAATATCAGGAGTTCAAACGCTCGGTTTCCACACGATGCAGCCACGAAGTCAAAAAACGTCTGACAACTCCTGAATGTGCCTCCAGTTGAACACATCCTGTACAGTCTCATTTATTTTGGAACAATCCCCCCCTAGTTGAAAACTACAGGTTCCCCGATAATAATAACATATATATTTATTTGTTGTTGAGAGGAAGCAGAGTTGATTTAATATTTAACCTCCTGTACGTTCTGAAAACCTGATCCAATACTATTAAGAACGATTCCTATTTATTTATTCGTGGATTGTTGGGACATTTAAAAACCTATGAGGGTTAAGCAGAGGCTTTTATTTTGGAGGGTACAGTGCAAGACTTCCAGTTTTATTTTCTTTCTGTAATCATGTTGCTTATATATTCTGAATATGTTTTCATTTTGTGGCTTTGCTGATGCATCACAAACGCAGAGAGCCCTGATGCAACCCAGGGATGTTTTAATTTATTTATTTTGTCTCCACAACTGTAAGAATCTGGTTTATGTTTGGCTGTTTATTTATTTTTCTGATAATCTGCGTTTTACTTGTATGTTTGTAGAAGCGACTCTGCATCACATAGGATCTGCTGTAGTGAGACAGAGTCAGGGGGTAATTCTGTGTTTTGATTCTCCGCAAACATTTTAAAAAGAAAATACTGTGGATATGTATTCAATATATATTTTGGAAGAAATACAGACAGTGAAGTTATAAAAGCTGTGTGATCTCGGTGAAATCATTTCTCCATTTATTCTATTTATTATAATTTATTTGTGTTTGTCTTCTATTCTTATGTTAACATTAAAACTATTACATATGTACCTTAATAAATGTGCTAGAAATCCAAAGTAAATAAAGTTCTTTTTTCTGGAAAATACATTTATTTGTCTTGTAATCATATTGTTCTATAATATTTCACAGGCTGCTATTTTAACTGCACAGCACAGTGGTTTAATTCTTTTATATTTGCTTTATATATAAATTAGATTTTGATCAGTACTTATCAATATCTACAGAAATCAAACAGTTCATTGTGATTTTTTTGTCATGTTCAGCTCAGCCCAACATAAAAGCATCCTGGGTGTTAAAAAATGCAACAAATGCTCTCTTCAGAAATGTAAATGAAGCTTCTCCGGGTTGCTCCACACAGCAGGAGGCTGCTCAACATGTTGCACAGATGAAGGCTCGATAGCTGTTTGCACAGCTGCGTGTGCAACTTTCAGGTTGCTGGAACCAACAACAACAACAAAAACAAACAACAACAAATGCTAAAGGAAGCAGTTAAATGCGTCGCTGGGGAGAAGCAGCAGAAACCTGGGAGGCGCTGACCAGCCGAACCAGTCGACACACGGGAGGAAGGAGTTTGACTCAAGAACTCACGTATTTACTCATTCCAAGAAGGCACGAGGAGAAAGTTCTCATCAAACCGTGTGAGCTGCCTCTGAATAAATCAGTGAATTATTGAACACAACATCTGCCTCAAAATGCGCCCTGTTGTCGGTGTCAAGCTGGATGTGAGCAGCGATCCCCCAAAAGAAGGCTCTCCGCCCACATTCAGAGGAGACGGACGAGAATCAAACACATGGTTTGGATGTTTCTGTCTCTGTGGTCGCAGCGTGTTTCTCTGCAGACTGGTTTAAAGATCATGACCACGATGACGCACCTTCAGTCATGTTCCCACAGCGGCAGAGGACACTACATTTACCTTAACCATAACCATAACTGCTGCTTTCCTAACCCTAACCCTAACATGGACCCTTACACTACCCTTAAAACATATGAGGCTTATAGGGACTTGTTTTTTCATATCATGAGGAAAAAACACGCCCCTACAGTGACTATGTGCAAAGATTTAGGTCCTTATGACACGAGTAATAAGTGGACATGCCTGTGGAGTCCTTGTTAATGCACTGACAGATCCAGAAGAATTACTTCTTGAGATGTTCCTTGATTA